TCATTTGTGGTGACGATACAATAATACAAAACGATAATACTATTTTATCAGAAAACATCGGGTTTTTCGGGGAAACCAACATTACTTGTACTCTCAATAACTATAATGCAAAACTTCTCATCTATACACGTATTGAAATCATTCACACATATAGTTATGGATCATTACACCTTTTGTATAAACAATTTCCGTTCAGAAAATATTGGATTTTCTAGGTTTTACAAACTATACAAAACATTTTCATATCAAACCTGCTTATGAACTCACCAACATTGTATATGTTGACGTTTTCAAAATAACTTGTATTCTCAGGTAACAGATAAGCTGAAGAACAATACCCAGTGTGTTAGGATGTTATGTTTCATGTATATTCATTTTGGTGATATTTCAATTTAAGTCACACGAGTCCTCGGACGTTCCCGCTGTCTGGTTCGGGGGTGTGACACATATCTTTATGTAGCTTGAAGTCTTGATGTATTTAGCCTTAAGAGCTTAGCACCAATGGTGTGGAAGCCTCAAATGAAGTCAAAACACATTGTGGACAAAGGTGACTCTTAAGAGAGAATTCCATGCACCAAAACAACTCCATATTTCTTGAAGAAAAGAAGCGCACGTTTTTTGTTATGAAGCAACATATTTATATGGTGGATTCCAAGCATCATGGGTATAACCCAAATCCATACCAATGGATGTTATGATCCATGGTTCATGTGGCCCAACTCTGTATGTATCCATACATAAACTTGGTCATAAGCCCAACACATATAAATATAACTAATTACCATAATTAGTCCCCATAGATTTAACTAGTCTCCATTGATCACTAAATTAATTCCAAATTAATTCTTGATCAGTACTAATTAAAACATATGATTTCATATTAATATATTATAACTTATAATACATTAATAAATCATATATAACCTTCTCTCAAGAGTACATCCAAACAAATTATCCTGATGATATGCAACACATCATATATCTTTTCATGTTGTTATGTATTCTGATTAGAATTTAGGAGTATATGATGCATTTGGGACCTCGTTAAGACTTTATAGGTTTGTTTCTTGAGTTCTAGTCACATGAATTAAACACCAACAAAAAGTCTCATATCACTCTAAAAATTAGGTACAAGGCTAGAAACATGCCTAGAAGGCTTCCATCGATTCTTAAGCTTTCGGGACAAAAATAAAGTCAAAGAGGTATTGTATCTTGGTTCTAGGCATCAACACAATACCAAATTATTTTTAAGGTCGTTGACTATTAGTCTTAGAAACCTTTAAAATAACTAAATTAGGTTCAAATCAACTGGAAGCAACCATGTAAGAAAATCATGCTAAATCTTAGTATTAAGAGTTTTTATGAATTTTTGGTGTTGTTTTCTAGAGTTTACACCTCCTAAACGACTTCTAAAATTTAGAGGATGATTATCACAAGTTTCCAAAAAGATTGAGGTCTTAAAACACATCAACCACTCTTGAAACATTTCCTAAAAGAAAATCTCACTAATAGCATTTCCTGATGGTTTGAGAGTCATTAGAGGCAGCTTCGGCCTCCACAGTGGTGGGGAAGCGAGGAGAAGCATTCTAGGGGTGATGGAAGGCTAGTACGTACCTTGGGGTGGCCTAAAAGCTAATGACACATGCTTGGAAGCTCTTTTTATCTTCTCAAAACCTTTGGTCCACCAGCAACACTTTTCTCTATCATGTGTTCTCAGGATTTGAGGAAAATAAAGGAGAGATGTCGCTACTCATTAATCATTAATTTGGGGTGAAATAACAGAGTACTTCCTTTTTGTCGTTCCTAGGGACCACCCACTCCCGTTCCTTGGTTGTTAGTGTACGGTCGAGATTAGGGCATAGAAAGGAGCGATGTCTACTTCAACAAAGTAGGGTTGAGCGTGGTTCGGTTTTTTGCTAAAACCAAACCAAACCATAGAAGTTGGTTTTTCTGTTTCAAAACCCATATGGGTTCGGTTTCTTGATGAGTTAGTTTTTTCGGTTTGGAATCGTGGGTTCATGTTTTTCTATTTTTTTTTTTTTTTGATTTCAAACCCACTAAAAATACATTTCTCTAAATGGTATCGTACCCAATTTAAATATACTAAAATAACTATGCAAGGGTATGAAGGGTAACATAATTAACATTTCTAAAACATAATATATATATATATATATATATATATATATATATATATATATATAATATTTAAAATATAATAATATTAAATAATATATACAATGGATCATTTTTTAAACACATGGCTTGGTTCGTTTTTACTGGGTGGGTTTAATACATAACCGAACCGCTAATATCGATTTTTATAAAGATTCAAACCCACTTCATTGGGTAATTTTATTTTTATTTTTTGCAAAAATCCAACTTTAGGGCTCAAAAAGGTTGTTTTTATTAGTTTTAAAGGTATTCTTCTGGTCTTGTTGAACTTGTTTTTTGCAAACCGGGTGGTTTTTACTAGTTCGAAGTGACCTTCCATAAGTATTGTTGAATTTTTTGTTTGTATCAACTTCACTTAATTAAGGAACTACATGTTTTTTCTAGACTTTTCACTGGCTAATTTTAAGTATTTGTATATGTGATTAGCACACTACTTGAACGACATGTATGTATGTGTTTATGTTTACCATAATTAAGAATAAATTAACCATTATGATAGTTCAAGTTTAAGTCGATTGAAAGCCCATGATGACTTTCTTGAAAGAGTTATAAGGGTGTAGGATATTGAGTATAAAATGACCTTTACTGCTGCCAAAACCATTAGGGACTCAACTCATCACACAACGGGTTCAAAGATAAAAGATATAGGGTTTCATCGGGTTCACGCAAATGTTGAAGCCATTGCATAGCCTCTACTCAACTTAAAACATGAAACCAAGAATTTCAACACTTTCGAATCTATTTAGGATTTTATTTATCGATTTTAAGATTTTAATTTTCGTATTTAGGATTTTAATTATCATTTGTAGTTCTGGGTTTTAGTTTAATTTATTGGGAAAATGTCATATTTGCCCATCAAACTTTTCGTGTTTATTTTAAAAGGTCCCCAAACTTTTTTTGCACATTAAAGAAATATACTTTCATTTGACCGTTTAATTACATCCCTTTACCGATTGTAAAAGGTTTATCCCCTATTTTCGTGACATGGACACCATCGTGGAATATTACTATTGAAATCTTGGTCCCCAAGAATTGCCAAGTCATTGCTAATGGTCCCCTTATAAAACCATCTTCCCTTAAATCTATCTTCCCCACCACTTTTTTACCCTAATCCTTAACATTCACATCATCGACTTTGCTTTTTTTCCCACCTATAAATCAAGAAGATGGCCTCAGAACAAAGCTTCTCCTATGGTGGTTTTAGAGCTTCGGAACTAGACTTACCAACTGATTACGAACTTCATGCCATGGAAACCCAAGTGCAGATTGAGGAAATGCGAGATGAGATGCGACAACAGCTTGGCGAGTTTAGGGAGGAGATATGCAAGTTGAAAATGAAAGTGACCATGATGGGTGTTGTTGGAGTTGCAGTGATGTCGTTGATTGGGGTTTGTTTTTGCATCGAATGCAGTGGATGGGGATTTTGGTGGGTGTAGTTTAGTTCGTAGGTAGCACGATGGCGATTAGTCTCTTTTAGGTTATCAGGGTTGTCGAAGGTTGTGTCTTTTTGTCTAATTTTTTCATCTTCTAGTATATATGTGTGTATTAGGTTATGTGTTGTTGGTTGTTTTGAACAATGGTGCCCATTGAGGATGTAATGGTGTTTAGAACCAATTTTTTTTTTTTTTTTTTTTTGGGGGGGGGGGGGGGGGGGTTTTGTTAAGACAATAACCTCAGTTGTAATGGATGAATGAAATAAAATATACTTCCTATTATTACCTTTGTTTTTCTTTGCATATGATGTTATGGTTTGTAATGAAATGCACCAAATGTGAAGGTCGTATGTTGCACGACTTCAATTTCCCCTTGAAGTATGGTTTGTAATGAAATGTACCAAATGTGAAGTTCCTATTATAACCTTATGTGGAAGTACATTGTTATAATTCAAGTCTATTGTTATATGGAATTGCATTGGAAGTACAATTATAAAAAAAAGATTCATGTTATGTTTTAAACTAAAGAAACTAACATTCATGTTACAAACAGAAAACAAACATCCATACATTCATTAATATCATAACTTGGTCTTTTAAAGACATGTTAACATTCATGTTACAAACAGCAAACAAACATCCATACATCCATACATTCATGTTATGTTTTAAGACCTTGCACCATAACTAACATACTCCAAAAACATCTTTAATCCAAGTCCATTGGTTTGTTTGATGTATCACCTTCACCGTTTTTGCCTCCAACCTTTTTTGCCAACTTTTTCTTTAGTATCCTTTCTGACTTTTTTCTTAATTTCAATGTATCTACTTTTTTACCATTCTTCTTAGTCACACCACTTTTTGACTCACATTCACCTTCTCCTATATTGTAACCAATTCCACTTCCAGTATCACCTTCACCCTTTCCCTTCCCATTTTGCCCTTGACCCTTCCTTTTCTTTGATGGACAAGATTCACCTTCACCTTCAACCTTCCTCTTTTTCACCTGACTTTTTAGGGCTTTGACACTGCATCACAAGTTGACTTATTGTGGCCTGATTTCTTACAAACACCACAGAACATCTTTTTGCCTGCCTTGGATACTTTGTGTGATCCAATAACCTCAGTACTGTCCCTCTTTCTCTTAATAGTGGGTCTCCTTTGCATCTTCCTTTTCAATGGTGGCAAAGGCGGTATGTACTCTATTGGGGGCCACATTGCACTCACATTCATGCTTCCAATTGTGTACTTGTATGTGTTCATATATATATATATATATATATATATATATATATATATATATGCAAGCACGATATAAAGGATCAACAAATGCATCTACATCTCTATTTACATAACTAATGGCGGCCACTGAGTGTACACAACCATACCCATTCATTTGCCAAATCCTAAAAGAACATTTTTCTTTTCCAGATCAACTCCATAAGACTCTCCTAAGTTTCTTGTTTCAAATGTATTTAGGCTGCTAGGAAGCACTTGCCAATACCTACAAATAATCAAAGTTAAAAGGGGTAATTAAAGTACTTTGATTGGATATTCAATTCAATTATGGTGAATAATATAGTACCTTTGTTGGATCTTTAATTCATTTAGGGCAAGCCTTATGTTTGTACATACATCAAAATGTCCCCATCCACTTCCTTTCTGCCTCAAACTACATATACTCTGCATCACATATAGTCTAATATCCTCCAACATTATAATAATTAGCTTCTTCCTAGCCTCCAATATAACATTGTTAAAGCTTTTTCAGACAACCCATTATCAACTGCATCACACCCCCTTCCTTATTGAAAAAATGCTCTTGACCAAGAGTTTGGATTCCTTCCCATCAGATGCACATATGTAACAACCCGAAATTCATATCCTTAATTGTAACCCTTTTCGCGACTCGTTCCGATTATCCAATCGTCGTTTCCGATTTCTTTTCCGTTTCCGACCTTTTATTAAGTCGTTAATGTGAATTTTATTTTATGACTTAATAAGTGTCTTAATACCCTTAGAACTCATTCTAACGTCTCATATTAATGATCGGAACATTTTTAGAACCAACCATATCGGGTTACGGCAAATTGGCCGGGTGCGACCAAAAGCTCCGTCTAACGCCGGTATCGGGTAGAATTCTACCATGTCCCGAACTTGGACACTATTTAAAGTGACTCAAGTCTCCATTTTGAAGCTTTTGCTCCATGTTACAACTATTACTCCAACCTCTGTCCTCAAACTAGATTTTAGGGTCAAAATCTCAAGATTTAGGGCTTCAAATCACCAAGGTACCTTCCCTAATTTGTTATGCAACATCTTTAGCCCTCAAATTCGAGTTCAAACCATGGGATAGGACCATTAACATGAGTTTACGGCCCTAGAACAGTCTTAGGCCGTAAACTCATATAAGAGGGTTTTTGGAGCAACAAAACCCCTCCTTGACAAGTTTGGGACTTAGATATGGCTAAATGGCTTCAAGATTTGGACTCTAAACATTTAAAACATGGATTTTGTGAGGTTTGAAGGAGTTTACGGCCAAGGCATATGCTTGGGCCATAAACTCATATAAATGGGGTTTTCATGCCCTTAAACCCTTCCAAATCTCAAACAAGGCTTAGATATGAATTATAGAATATTGGTTTTAGCATTTGGGCACCTTAAACATAATTTTTGGGGGATTTAGGTGAGTTTACGGCCAAGGCATATGCTTGGGCCGTAAACTCCTTATAAATGGGTATAAAATCAATTCTAAGGTGTTAGAAAGCCATCCAACACCACCAAAAGCCTTGGAATAAATCATAGAACCAACCAAAAATAGTTTAAGGACTTTAAACACATCAAAATCCCACATTTGAGAGTTTACAGCCATAGAACATGTCTCATGGCCGTAAACTCATATAATGGTGTCAATTGGTGCCCCAAACTCATTTCTAGGCTTGTGGGAATTTTTAGAATCACATGTGTTAATTTTGGGACCTTAACAACTCTTATTCTATGAGATATGTGAGTTTACGGCCATAGAACCCATGCCTAGGCCGTAAACTCCTTTAAGTGTTGCATTTGATGATTTTAATTCAATCCAAGCCTTAGTTAAAATTATTCCAAGCATTTCCAAGTGTCCATACCCCTTTTGTGAGCCATTAAACACCATAAACCACCCCTCTATGAGTTTACGGCCGTAAACTCATGGGGAATGGGTGTTTAGGCCATAAACATCATTAGGGAGTTTACTTTTGGGGAGTAAACTCAAATCCCAAGTCCCACGCTTCAATTCCTGTCCGTAGATGTCACCCGGGTCACTCCAAACACCCGTTTTGAGGTGTTTTTGTTCGTTGGAGTGTAACTTCATATCTAATTAGAGTTTGTAAATCTAATTAGATATATTTGTATGCCATTTCATTTTACATAGGAACCTCACGTATTATCATGCCTCGATTCGACGTTTAGCATCCGAAATCGACACATTTCCGCGTCCGATGAGTTCATACCCCTACCCTTTTTCAATGGCTTTTCAATGTTTTCAGGGGGGAATACAAGCAAAAGTACAAGTATATCTTGTACTCAATCACATGATTTCAATTAAATGGTTTCATAATTGTACACTTTAAGAATTGAAAACCTTTTAAACAAACCGTTTTAACTTGCAGAGTTGTTTGTTTCTAACCCGATTTTCAATTCTTATTATATACTGTTATATTGTGTACTTGGTAATTGATTGTTCACATTTAAACTGATAGAATACATAAACCATTGTAATGTCTGTAATAAAACACTAAGGTTCGAGTGTAAAAGACAGACTTCATTAGAAAACATGAAACATCTATATGTCCTTAACAATACACCTAGGCTCGAGTGTGATAGATAAATACCATCATAACGCACAAACCACTGTAATGTCCTTGATAATACACCTAGGGTCGAGTGTAAAAGGACAGCCATCATTAAATAACACCTAGGTTCGAGTGTAATGTCCTTAATAATACACCTAGGGTCGAGTGTAAAAGGACAGCCATCATTAAATAACACCTAGGCTCGAGTGTAATGTCATTAATAAAACACCTAGGCTCGAGTGTAAAGGACAGGTACGTAGAATAAAGTCAGTTGTAAATACTACTTTCCTAGTCGAAAAGTAAAGAGTAATCTTAATGATTGGAGACACGTCCTTGTAACCCTTCCATGGCACGAGATAGTGGAGGACTAACCCTGTAACCAGAATCTCCGTTCGTAGGAGAGCGTGGCTTGAGTGTATAGATCTATACGGGACTAACAATCCCACACCTGGCTGCTAGCTACAGCCGAACCAAATGGTTCAAGGGTGACAAAAGTCATAAAAAGGATACTGACCATGGTCCGAGTCATATCCAGTCTAAGTATGGTTAAGGACTCGCAATCTAGATTATTAACGTTTCAGATTCATTTACTAGCTTTATGTACGTAGTAAAGCTAATGTACATTTAGGGATTGCAGATACACACACAGTCAGGAAAACATGGGGTTTTCCTGGGAAGAACACTGAACATAACCATAACCAGTAAAGACACACACACAGTCAGGGAAACATGGGGTTTTCCTGGGGAGAACACTGAACATAAACAAAACCGGTAAAGATATACACACAGTCAGGGAAACATGGGGTTTTCCTGGGAAGGACACCGAACATAGTCAGAAACTAGTAACAGTTCACACACACACAGTCAGGAGAACATGGGGTTCTTCCTGAGTAATAGTAGTACGAAATTAGAGAAGTGTAATAAGTTAAACAATTGAATTACATTTCACAAGAACAATCATGTTTTAATTAAACATCGTTTACTTTACTTTCGGATTTGGAATCTAACTTTACATAAGAAAATATGGGATTTTCTTAGATAACTACTTTTCAGGAAAACAAAGGAACTCGTACATTTTCATAAAAACTAACCGCTTATGAACTCACCAGCTTTATGCTGATTTTCAAAACCGCTTGTATTCTCAGGTCCATGTTAGACAGGTACCCGAAGATCCTTTTGTGTGAAGATGGATTTCTCAGAAGACTTATTTTGTATTGTTCATATATACTATGTATCACTTGTATAACTTATGCTTTTGAAACAAATGTAAATCTTTCATATATGTAATGTAATGGTTGATTTACTTTACTTACTATGTACATTGGATTTGATACTCTACGTGGAGTCAACCCCGGAAATGTTTCCGCCTTCGGTTTTCGGGGTGTGACAACATAAGCATCATGGCTAATCATTTGAATCTCTTCCATTGCAAAATTGAAAAGAGGTTCAGTTGAGGCCTTACAAGCCTTCCAAAATAGTTTCTCATACTGAGCCCTAGGGAATTTCTTCTTGAAATTGGAAAGAACATGTCTGGCACATTGCCTATGTTCTATCTCTGGAAATAAATCTTTCACGGCTTCAATTATCCCCTGCATTTATATCATCATAATATTCAGAATTATGTCACATTTGAAAGAAATTAGGTATGACATTATAAAGTAGAAACATACATTATGTTGATCTGACATCAATGTCCTACCAAACCCACCTTCAAGATGCGAATCTTCTTGCAAGTTTTCTAAGAACCATTTCCAGTTGTCTTTATTTTCAACACAAACTACAACCCAAGCTATTGGGTATAAATGATTGTTACCATCCCTACCAACAACACATAATAACTGACCAGTATACATTACTTTTAGAAAACACCCATCTAAGTTTATTATCCCTCTACAGCCACTTCTCCAACCCTCCTTTAGTGCATGAAAACATATATATATATATATATATATATATATATATATATATATATATATATATATATATATATATATATATATCCTACTAAAGTAAGTTTTCCCATCTGGCATAGATTTCACAGACAACTTGACTATTGACCGTAGATTAGACCTTTTTATCTCTTCACCATAGGACCACAACTTTGCATAATTTCCCACTATGGTACCTTTAACAAGAGACATTGCATGTTGCTTAGATCTTCTACATTGTCCCATACTAACCTCTATGCCAATTTTAGTCTTTACTTCCTCTTTTAACATCCTAACATTGAATTTCTGATTCTCAAGCACTTCCCGGGTGAAATGACTACCAATCCATCTGTAATTAACAATTGACCCTAATTTAAAATTTCCTGCACAATTGTGGTCAATGATAAGGGACTTGATTTGGAAAGAGTGCTCCTCACTCATCCATGATGCCCAAATCCTAAATGTGCATTGACCATTACTACACTTAACCAATAACCTTTTACTGTCGTTTTTTTCAAAGTACAATTGATATCCATTTACTACAACATACTTACAAATCATAAATATTAATTGTTTAGGGTTGGTAAACCTCATACCTAGAATTGGCAACTGCTTCTTCCAAGGTATGTCTTCATTAAACGTTAGTTTTCCTTTCACATCTAGGACATTATCATCTTTTAGATCACCTTCTGTGGCCTCCTCATTTCCATTACCCTGCCTTACTCCTTCATAGGTTACTCCTTCCATGTTGATTTCTTGTGGACTCTTAATTTCAGTTAGGTCAATACCTTCTTCCCCTTCGATTGACATGTTTGACTTGACAAAACAATTATCCTCATTTTCATTTTCATTTGCCTTCGTTACATGCACAGTAGTACCAAAATGGTCCATGTAAACAGAAACTTGTACTCCACATTCATAAGCAATGTCTATAAATTCTTGATATTGACGTTCATTCGAAATCAAGGTTAAACCTTCCGGGATTTGTAAATCGGGTTGACAATAATAAAGTTTCTTATACTTCTCTTGTGTGAATCGTTCAAGAAAACCCACAAACTCATTATATGACATAGCAACAAAATCGACGTTCTCGAACACATGATGAACACCATCAGAATAGAAAAAAGGTTTGTTGAAGAACACACCTTGGAAATGAACTTTGATTGACAGGAATATATCCATCGATCTTCAGTTACTATGGTGGGACGATGAGCATTTTCTTCATTGACAAGGGGTTTCTTCAATGGGGGGGGGGGGGAGGGGATTGTATAACGCAAACGGTTTACTTTATAAAAATTTAATATAAGTATAACACATGTGGCCCTTTCATTAAATGACGTGTCACCGACATTTTCCCTCGTGGCATGTATATTACCTATCAACCCAGTAGAAGGTAACATAAGGGTATTTTAAAATAGAGAAATGAAAGTATATTTTTTTAATGTACAAAAAAAAAGTTTAGGGACCTTTTAAAACGAACACGAAAAGTTTGATGGGCTAATATGATATTTGCCTTAATTTAATTTAGTTTATTTATTAAATCTTTTAACATTTCTTTAATCAAAGTTAGAAGGGTTCGGAATGTTAAAAAAGATGGCTTTCTTGGATAGTCCATATATATATATATATATATATATATATATATATATATAATATATATATATATATATATATATATATATATATATATATATACTACCTTATAAAAGAAATCTTACTATTTCTATAAATAAAATCAATATAATAATAATATTTTTTAAGACGTTCAAGTTTTTAAGTTTAAAGTACTACCAACTATTAATATAATAATATTATAATATATATCTTACAAATGATAATGCTAGGGATACAAGTATTAAAAGCACATTTAAATTAGTATTTCCTTATTTTTAGGGATTGAATTAATATTTTCATCAATTTTGACCCAACTTGTACTCCTAAAATATCTCTTCTCTGGTATCTGGTGAATTCGAAATCTGAAACACTTCTTTTGGACAAATCGTTTGAAATTTAAAAGTTTGAATTCCCTAATTTTTTACATAAAATATAGTTGACTGGAGACTAATTCAAATCTTCATCTCCTTTTCCTCTATGGAATCCACCACCACAATATTTTTTGGTTTTGGCATTGCACTTTTTATTTTTGTGAAACCGATCGATAATGGTGCAAGTGTTCTTAGAAATATAACATGTCTCCAAATGGAACTAATTGTTTGAAAGAAACTATTTGTCGCTGCCGCTTTGCGCGGGTAAACGGCTAGTATATATATATAATATATATATATATATATATATATATATATATATATGTTGGGCTGAAAATTATTTTGAAGATTGCGTCTTTTGGGCTCGACTGATTATGCTACTTTGTATTCCGGTTTGGGCCTGTTCAACCGTGAACCTTTTATGTTTTGTATATAAGTTTACGCTTGCATGCATATTAGGTTAAGGTTTTGAGAGATCTGAGAATAGAGATACATCTAGACGATAACAGGTTTCTTTGATCGTTCTTGTAACCTTCCAATCCTCTACAGTTGATGTTCTTAATCGATCTCTTCTGAGGATTTTGTTTAATCATTCGACACGTTTGATTCCATCTTGTCTTGTTCTTATTATTGTGTTTATATCGTTTTGTTTACTTACTTGTTCAAGATCTAATCGATCTTTATAGATTAAAGGTTAGTTTAATCTCAATCAATTGGTATCAGAGCAGGAGGCTGTGTAATTGATACACATCTTTTCTGTGAAAAAGATTTCCATTAGGGTTTTTCCGCAATTATCAATATTTATTGACCGTCATCTCTTTATTGACGTATCTTGATATTTATTATTTTGCCCTAATCTGCTTTATTACAAGTCTGATCTTTGAACAGGTTTTTACGATCATAATGGACGCGACACAATCAAACCTTATTAATATTTCCAAGCAGCATTGGTTCGACGACAAAGATTCCAATCTTGTACACCCATGACTATGAAGTATGGGCGCATCACTTCGAAGACTACGTTATTGGATCGGAGGATAATGGGTATCTCATTTGGGAAGCCATCACCGATTGACCGTTTTCTCATTCTGCTACGTCCAAAATCATCAAGACACAAAAAGAGTACAATGATCTGCTAAAGGACGTGAAGGATATTGCACAAGAT